CACATACACAGACGTGCCTTACCATAACAACAAGGCCATGAATTGCGTATTTGAATCCATTAAGCTAATTCTGTACCTTGTGCTTGAATTCAGGTGGAAGCAGGGTTTTGGGGTGGGGAAGAAAGAAATTAACCAGATTAATTTGATACCGCAAATCTGAGACATGACAAGGGTATTTTTTCAAGTAGTATGAACAACTACTTCAAGCGTTAGTTGGTGTCATCACTGTGGTTTGGGAATTGGATTAAGAACAGTGAACCAAGCCTGGAGTCCTGAGTTGGTGGGTAGACTGTGGACACCAAGCGATGTGACCTCAAGTGGTTTATTTTTCTGGACCTCAGGTTGATCCTCTGTAAAATATGGGAGTCAGTTTAAAAGAATCCATAGATTTTATTTTTTTTCTATTCTCATGTTTGTTTTTATTAGACTAGATTTGGGGCAAAAGTGTTGTTTTTTAACATAGATGAAGTATGTAATTCAAATTATATAATTTTAATACATATATGAATATATTTATATTTTATATAATTATATACTTATGCATTATTCTGCCCATCGCCAGAATAATGTACATTGTATCTAATACTTAATTATTTATCCCTCACTCCTTTTTTCCCTCCCCTCTTCTTAGTACTCTAATTAATATTCTTTCTTTCTAAGAGTTAGTACCAGAATGTCTTAATTTCACTGCAGCTCTACCATTGACCAACCAGGTGACCTTAACAAGTCACTAAAAGTATCTGCACCTGTTTTCCACCTCTGCACAATGTAGATAATTACTAAATAATAGCCAAGATCTCTTCCTAAGAACATAGAAAAGAATTTTTTGCCCACCTGTAACATTTCAACATTTATTTTTCAACATTAGAAGTAAAATCACAGGGAATGGAGGCAATCTCAGCCCCTCAAACCCAGTAACTTTTTATTATGTAAGGAATTGTGATCGAAAACCACTGGGTCACATGGGGAGAAAGGAGTTTCTCCTGAGTATCTTTTGAGATACCCAGAATCCAGGAAATCAGTTCTTCATTCTTTTAACATTTACTGAGCGCCTAAGAACAGTCACGTGAAACTAGAACCATAGAAGCTTTTGTGGACAGTTTTTTTCCTCATTTCATCTGCTCTCCTGCCTGGTTAGA